GACTTCCAGGCAAGTGGAACACAATAACAAAGTGATGGCAAGCGGAACATATATTAAGTTGTCCAACACGTCCAACGTCTAAAGAACACGCAATCATATAATATATTTCCGAGACGACCTCGTCGCCTTCGAAGACTTTCACCAAATATTTCCTCAAACTCGGCCCCGTATTTGGTGCTTAGTTTGACTGGCATTTTTTTACTGATGAAGGAAGGCTCCAGGTAACTTCCAGGAAAGTGGAACATGATAATGGCAAGTGGAGAATATATTAAGTTGTACAATACGTCCAACATCCAACTAAAATCCAATAATATAATATATTTTCGAGATGACCTCCTCCTCTTCTCTCATTTTTCTTATTCTTATTCTTTTTTTTCTTTTGCCCTTTTCCCCTCCATCGGCCATCCCCGGTCCTCATCGATGGCCGTTGGAGGTCACTAGCCTCAGGCCTCGGGTGAGGGACTCCCACGCTTGGGCTAGCAAGGGCTGCCCTCATTGAGGCCGATGACCTCTGCTGGCCATTGACAAGGTAAAAATGAAAAAAGAAAAAAAGAAAAAGAAAAAGAAAAAGAAAAAAAGAAAAGGAAAGGAAAGGAAAAATAAAGACAAAAGTTCAGAAAATTAAAAAAATTTGTAAAAACGGTCCACCTCTGCGCCTGCCGTGTCACGTAAGACGGTCGACGCTAACTAGAACTTAACGTCAGCGATTTCTTATCAATTTTTGCTGGAAGAACTAAATTGACAAATTGTTAAAAGATTTAAAATTAAACTGGCAAATTATCACAATGTTTAGGACAAAATTAGGATAGTTGAAAAGTTCATAACTAAATTGACAAGTTGTCAAAAGATTCATAATTTAATTGACACAATTGAAAGATTGAGGGCTGAATTGACCTACGTATAATATGTTTATAACTTTTTGGATAATTTTCCCGAAAAAAGTATCACCGAATATTTATTCGATTGTGGAGAATCATCCGCCGAGAATTTATATACGCAGTACCAAAAATAAAGTTCACATAAAATGTTAAATAAATTTAAGGAGAGAGATAAAAGTGACTTACGTGTAGGATAATGACTAGATCATCGGTGGGCATGATGTGGCATGGAGAAATCTAGTTTGAGAAAATTGTTTTGGAAGAGATTTATATTGAAAGTTATTTCCTTAGACAAATCTCTTTTGAGAAATAAATAATAGATAGATTGTGGATAGAACAAACTTATGCGTCCCCCAGACATTTTTATTAACAAAATCGTCGGGGATGAACGGAATCTCTTGTTAGCACGAGGAGCATGGAGCATTGCTAGTTGGTTTTCTTTTCTATTTTGTTTATTAATAGAAAAGGCCCAGCCAAGTCAAGACAGTGCTGGCTGGATCTCAGATCTCAATGAAAGCACATGGCATGCACCTTCCTCATATAATGCTGCGCATCGGTGGAGATCCCAGTAGGGGCATGCGAGTATAGCTCGTTAGTTCTCTTTTCTATTTTCTTTCATTAAACTCGAAGCGTGAGTGTTTCACGTGATTGCATGTGAGCGTGTCAGTCTTTGCTCGTTGGGTTCCGCACACCTTCCGCATGATGCTGCGGAAATTTAGCGTGAAATGACTGTTCTTTCCGTAGCATGCCTCACAGCGGTTCAATTAGCATGAAGAGTCTTGGACCAGTGGATGGCAAGAACTCAGCATTGTTCAAAGCGCGCACAGTAGAAAGTGTTGTGTGGTGTGTAGGGAATCCAACGTCGACGGCTGAGGATTGGGGAGATCATAGCCTTGGGTGAATTGTGTTTGTTTGAGCACTCCTCGCTTGGTCGACGACTCCTTGCCCTTCTCTGTTTCCTGCTTTGATTCCTCCATTTTCTTCTGATGAGTTGTGACATTCTGAATTTCGACCTATTTTCGGGATTTATGAAATAAATATTTCTTCAATGCGTTTTTAGTGAAATCTCGCTCGGAATTGATCACTCTCGAGTAAACTAACCGTTAGGGAATGGCTAGCTATGAATAAATTACGTGGACCTAAGAACTTGGCCATGGATTGACACTTCGACCATAAGGATTGACGAGGGAATATTTTGGGCCGTTAAAAGCCAATCCAAGGATGGTTATGGAACGATTTGCAATTGTCATGCAATTGGATCGCGGGTAATTCCGCTTGGCCATTGTATGAATTTCGAACGATCCTAAACATAATTCGAACGATCGCGTCATTTGGAACTAGTGATTGACCCTCACAATTACATGACAACCGAGGTCGCCATGGCTCGAGTAAACTTAGATGTGACTCGATATCAAATCGGTCACGAGTCGATACACATAAATTCCTAAAAGCCGCCCGTTAGTTCGAGATGCACTAAAATCGCAATCGATTGAATTTGGCTATTAATTAGAATCCGAATTGGGTATCATAGTTTCAAGATTTCCACGACTAATTTGTCGGACGTCGTTTCATTAAACGTGGCCAATCGTCATGTGGATCGGAATTGCGGAAAAAGGAAAATTACGGACAAAATATTATTGAGATAATGTTGAACCCTTCTCTCTCCTCTCTCTCTCTCCTCCCCTTCGTTGCCGCTGCCCCCACGTTGCCTCACGTGTTGCTTCTTCTTCTGTCCTGTTTTCTGCTGCTCCCATACTTTTCTTTGCTGACTGTTGACTCCTCAAGCTACCCATGCCTCTGCTGAACCCACGCTTGCTGACTTCTGCATTTTCTGCTGACTTGCTGCTGTCTTCTGCTTCTGCCGCTGACTTCTGCGTTGCTGACTACTTCTGCTTCTGGTTGACTGCTGCCCACGCTTCTGCTGCTGCTGCTGCCCCTAACGTTGATGACCAGTCCCACCAACTCCACCAACCATCATCATTGACTCCCCGTGCTGCTGACTTTTCCCCCCACGTTGGCTGATAAATCCCCCACCAACTTCACCATTTTCTTCTTCTTTTCCTTTGCTTTGCTGCTTCTGTTTTGCTGCATTTTCCTCGCTGCTTCTTGCTTCTTCTTGCTGCACGCCCGACCAGCAGCTTCGTCTGCCTCCACCGGCCAACTGCCTCAGCCGTCCGGCGACCGCTCACCGCCGTCCGTCGCTGCTGCACCGGCGAGGTTGCTGCTGCCCTTTCGCTCAGTTTTTGCTTAGACCTTGAGTAAGTGCTCCCTAAGCCTTGGTTATGATAATGGGTTACTAATGGACATGTTTAGGAGTGAATTAGGACTGTGGATAGTTGGTTTAGTGGCTGGTTGTGCTTGGTTTGCTTGGCGGTGCTTGTTTGTTGATTTCCGGTAAGGTTGCTGCTGCATCGCTGGATTTTGCTATTTTTACTGTGACTTGTGTGGGCCAAATTTGAGGAAGTGTTCTTCATGAAAGTTTCTCATGACATCTTTTAGTATGACATATTAAATATGGAATTTTTGGAGGTCATTTAATTCCATTCGTAAGTCCATTTTTGGACCGAATTCAGTCTGCCGGATTTACTGTTTACCCGACCTTCTGGTCTTTTCGATTTTCTATAAATTTTTCCAGACCTCTTTTCAACAAACTTTCTTCACAAAATTTTTTAATAACATTCGTTTCTATGACATATAAAAATTTCAAGGCTTTCCAAAGTGATTTGGATACTGAATGAGATGCATTTTGATGGTCAGGCGGCCTGACCGGATGGGTTGAATTTCGTCTGACTTCAAGTGACAAAAAGAGTTGTTTATAGTCAGAACTGGGTTTCAAGTTCTTCACGGAAAATGTTTATCAAGATGTTTTATGAAACATATCCAAATTTCATAATTTTTAGAGTTGATTTACTATTTGTTTCAAACAGATTTCGGTTACTGCGCAGCTGCCCAATTTGGCCCCGATTCTGTGCATACTCGGTTTTTCTCTCTCTCGGGGACTTTTCGGAGATTTTGTTACAAAAGAAAGGCGAGGCTTTTTAATTAATGAGTACAGACTTAGTTGGTATTTGATTAATTCATAAAGATAAGAATCGGTAATGGTTGTTGAGTGTGTGCATGGTCACGACACGTTCCGTCTAGGCGGGAATCTAGACGATGCCCGACGGGGGTTCGGATGCCGTCTAGGCGGAGGTTCTAGACGTTGCCGATCGCGGTGGAGGCTAGATCGATGCTCCTTTGTGGAATGCCGTCTGGGCGGGGGTTCCGGACGTTGCCGTCGCCGAAGTAGCGGGACGATGCCTGGTTACACCAGAAGACCGGCGGGAGTTCGGTAGCCCGAGGGGTCGTTAATAATCTAGACTTAATGAGTGCGATTTGCATTAGGGAATGCTTTGCCTGAGTTAATTGATGAGCACATCTGGATTATTAACCATGTTATGCTTGATCATGCCATGAATTGCTTTGTGTGTGCTTGACGGGCAATTGGCCATGTTATGGCGATATTCTAACGTGCAGGGCTTGTGTATGCGCCAAGGCGAGGTAAGGACGCATGTGATTGTTTATGGCACGTTGATTGTTTGAATCGCATGTTTAGAATTGTTCGGAAGTATGCTTTGGCCTAAGCGAGGCTTAGGTAGTTGCTTATTGAGAAGTGTTCTCATGATTGTATAACCAAACCATTTTAGACCCACGACCGTGATTAATCCGAAGATGCTGCCGGGATACTACGGGGATTGAGGATAGGTCGAGTTACTTCGTCTTTTGAGTGCCCCTTTTGTAGAAGAGTTAAGCTTACCAACCACCCGATCCTTTTTGTTGTACGTGGTTCATAGATAGTGGCCTCGTAGAAGGCTTGCAAATGTTTGTGTTGTAATCGATGTTGTGTTTATAAAAGTGTCTTGTTAATGTGTATTCTTTGTCTCTCCACTATCCCGTTGTTTATATGTTGTATGGAGAGTTCGAGGTTGCTTTCGCATGCGTTGCTCGTTAGTGTTTCGATTGGGTCGGCGATAAGTCCTGGGATGTCACATGCTTGACGACCCCAGAGGGATGTTGCGTGCTCATTCGGGTTCGGGGCGTGACATGAGTTGTCTAAGAGTTTCTATTTTTGTTTGAATGTAGCTCCAACTTTGAGTCCGGAGAGACATTTCTGCTTTTAACAGATCCAGGATTCCATATTTCTCTCCTCTGTTTCCTGCTCCATCAATCTCTTTCACATTCCTCTCGAGATGAAAAGAAAAGAACCCACTCATTCAGAAGATCCAATCTATGGGGAGTCTTCCTCATCGACCTCTCCACAAGTAGGTGATTATGAAGGCGGAACCAAAAGGCCGAAAAGAAATTATTGCCAAGTGTTCTTGAGCTTTAGAGGGGAAGACACTCGCAAAGGATTCACCGATCATCTTTATAGTAGCCTTGACGATGCAGGAATTCGGGTGTTTAGAGACAACAATGAGCTCCCTATTGGTGAGAAGATTGGTCCGGAGCTTCTTTGTAGTATTGCAAATTCTAAGATCTCGATCCCGATTATTTCGGAGAACTATGCTTCAAACAAATGGTGCCTCTGCGAGCTGGCTGAGATGTTGAAGTGCAAGAGAAGTAAAGGGCAGATAGTGTTGCCCATATTTTACAAAGTGGAACCCTCACAGGTGCGACATCCGACAGGGAAATGGAGAGATGCTATCGATGCCAATAAAAAGAATATGGACGAAATGGTTGTGAAGGAATGGGAAGAAGCACTCCAAGAAGTCAGCTCATTGAAAGGATGGGAATCGGAGAAAATTAATAATGGGTACATTATTCTCCAACAAAAAATTGTTTAATTTTTCATAAATAGATCTTTCTTAAAAAAGAACATACATATTGCTATCCTAAACTGAAATTCATTGTTATTTGACAGGCATGAAGGAACATTGGTTAAATTTGTTGTTAGAAAAGTTTTGAGCGAGTTAAAAAGACTTTTCCAGCTAAGTGTTCCTAAACAGTTGGTGGGAATTGATGATCATGTGGAACAAATTACGAGTTTGATAAATGCTAACTTCAATGGTACACGGATTATTGGAATTTATGGAATGGGCGGCATCGGTAAGACAACTCTTGCAAAGGTGTTATACAACAAGCTCTCTAGTCATTTTGACTGTCGTAGATTCGTGGCAAATATTCGAGAAACATCTCAGCGCAAGGGTATTGAATATGTACAAAAGCAACTCATTTCTACTGCAAGAGAAAATTTTGATGATGTGTTTAATGTTGATGAGGGAATTGGTAAAATCAAATCTCTATTTACAACCAAGAATGTCCTCATTCTTCTTGATGACATGGATGATGATACTCACTTGAATGCTTTGGTCGGAGACGGTACTTGGTTTACAGCAGGAAGTGTAATCATCATCACAACTAGAAACAAGAGTATTCTTGACAAGGTTGGGGCAAGCCCCATGTATGAACTCAACGAGTTGCCTTCAGATCTATCGTTGATTTTATTTAGTAGACATGCATTTCGACAGGATTACCCTCCAAGTGATTATGAGGTTATCTCTCGTGATATTGCATCCATTACTGGGGGGCTTCCCTTAGCTCTTGAAGTTATAGGTTCATTATTGTGTGGAAAGAAAAAAGGAGCATGGGAAGATACATCAAAGAAATTGAGGAAAATGCCTAATAAGAAAGTGCAAGAGACGTTGAAGATAAGTTACGATGTATTAGATTTTGATGAACGACAGATATTTTTGGATATTGCATGTTTTTTTATTGGATCATGTCAACAAAGTCCGACTTATATGTGGGATGCTTGTGATTTTTTTCCTGGGATGGGGATCGAAGTATTAAGTCTTAGGTCCCTAATTAAAATTGACAAAGACGGCACGCTAATTATGCATGATCAACTGAGAGATCTTGGAAGGGAAATTGTTCGTCTAGAAAATCTAGAGGAGCCTCAAGAGCGTAGCAGATTGTGGATTTATGAAGAAGCCCTAGACGTGCTCGACAACAAGAAGGTAAGAGTTTTCTGTACTTGTTTCGGTCAATGATGTGGGTACACCTTCCCTTTCTTGTTTGAAATAAAAATAATCGTTAGTCTTATATCCCCAAAAACTTGCTGCTTCTACTCGCAAAAGAGTTCTTTTGATTAATTGCTGTTTTTGCCTAATTCTAGAACATAACTAAGGAGCAATTTCTTGGTTATGGATGATTAATATATATCTATACCTGGTAGTATTGTGATGAGGATGCTCTCCTTTTGGTAACTTCAATGCAATGATAAAAACTACAAAAACAAAATGTTTGACGGAGTACTTTTAGAGAAAAACTGACATTTATAAAATGTTGCGGGCATGCATTTCCCACAAATTTGTTTGATGCATGCGTTTGATTTTTGAATTCGTCTTTCGGTTTCTTGTGAGGTTTATTTCTTTTTTCTTTTACTAAGTATTGACTTCTTATGAGTTGTTTGGTATGATAAATGAGACGTCCATTCATTTGTGATGATTTAGCTATCTTGGTTCCTGTATTTGTTAATTCGGGTTAAGCATATCCCCTAAGTATTATTGGTTGTGCAATTTAGTCCCCCATCTATTTTTGTTTTTGCTCAATATAGTCCTCTAACTTTCACTTTTTTTGCAATCGAGCCTTTGTGGTCAATCGTTAGTGGACATCGTCAATTTGTTGATGTGGCATTTATGATATATGAGCAACCATGCAATATCACCCTTTAGTTATATATTTTTTTCGTTATATAAACTTTTCATAATAGTGGATAGTTTATTTCTATAAATATGCTAATACTTTTTATTTTTGTGACGATGGGTGATTTTTCTATTAATACCCCGATATTATTTATTGTTAAATATAAGCTATTGTGCAATTATACTTATTTGTTTATTGTTCAACTCTTAGTGAGCATCTTATTTAGCAAAGATTTAGTTAACATGTATACCATTATCTTATTTTTGTGAAACGAAAATTAATTTGGGGTAAAATTAACAGGGACTACTAGTTTGGGATTTTTTATGACATGAAAATTAGTATGGGGTAAATGTGGAAGAATTCTACCGGTTTAGATTTTTTGGTATTATTAAACGAAGTAAATATGGTTTTGAATTTCGTGTGATGATAAATTTTCATTATTAGCATGAAAGTTAAAAGGTGATCCACTAAAAGCAATTATAATAGGTGGATGATTTGTACAAGCATCAAACAAGCATGTGCAAATGTCATGAGTATCGTTAATTAAGAAAAACTAAATATAAACATTGGGATGCACAACATAATGAAATAACAAGACTATTGAAAAAAAATGCTGCCAATTCTTTACAGCGAGCATATTTTTGCATGAAGGAAAATGTAACCAACTGAATAGAACACAGCTTAGAAGTGAAAAATAAAGGTATCTATGAAGTTGTTGACAAAATTACAATAGACATACAAGAAACTTATAATGTAAAAACAAGTACCGTCTCATATGAAAGACTATAAGTTCGAAGGAAAAGTTGAAACCACCAAACAAATCCGTAATATTGACTCTCGTGATTTGCGCTCAGTGTGCATCACCTAAAACAAAAAACGAATTTGTGTTCCTAAAATATTAGGTTACAACAAAAGAAATATGTAAAAGACTAGAGTTCCTTAAGAATACAATTGTATCAATCTTCATGTCAAATCTGTTCATACGGAAGATCTCATTAATCTATGGGACAATTGATCAAAATTTAGATGACTACTACTACACTGTAACAAAATCAACACGACAACGAAAAGATAGCATCAAACATCTATAGTAATAAAAAGAAAGTAAGAATCATGTATAGAACACTCGATATTATCAATTTTCCTTCCACGTACAATGGAAAACCCTCAACGATGAAACACATGATAAGAAAGGAACGTAAAACACGTGTGTACCTTTTCCAATGACATTCTTATTTTCATTTTGATATTTAGAATTGCAAATGTATTATACCAGAAAGAGTGGGGCATTCTACAATTTGGATTCTTTAATTTTGATACATGTTATGATGGCAAGTTTAATGGATCTATTTTGACTGTTAGAGTCGTATTGGTTCACATATATAGGATAGGAGTAAATGTAGTGTTATTTCACATATAAATGGCATGAATTTTCATAGATATATTTGATTTAGTGTATGCATGAAGAGAGGTCTTCTATTATAATTGCAAATGGATGCAAATTTTGGGCATTCAGAAGGTGCAAATTGCGAAGGGCATAATTGGAAGACGAAAAAGTTCAGGAACAACCGCTTGAGCTTCACATCTTTACATAGATTAGATAAATAGTACACAACCACAACCTTTCATTTCACAAAATTTAAAGGAGAAGCCTACACCATAGTAGTATGACAGCAAATTGAAATCAATGCATTTTATTTTACATCAGTTGATCTCATCTCATCATTTAAAACTTATGGTCCACAATGTTTCCAATTTGCAGGGCACTAGAAAGATTGAGGCACTTTCTCTTGGGAAATGTGGTAAGGGAAGAAGATACACAGCTGAACAATTTAAAGAAATGACCAACTTGAGGTTCCTTCTAGCGGATGGTGCGAATTTCACTGGAGATTTCCAAAGCTTACTTCCTAAATTAAGATGGCTTCAATGGTTGGGATGTCCCTCGAATTTTACTGCAGCAAACTTTCATCCAAAGAAATTAGTTGTACTCGATCTATCACGCAGTGCGATTTCGGAGGACTGGGGAGGATGGGTTCCACTCAAGGTAAGATGTAAAGAAGGCATTGAAGTATTTTCAATATAACATTTTTTTCCTTGTACGTATAACATTTGAAAATTGATTTTCATAATTAAACTAGCCCGTTTCTCTTTAATTTCATACTATTGAAGGAAAACATGGCGCCCAATGACTGCATCTCTCTCCCATTTGAATTTGTCATCTGCTTTTTGATAATAAAAGTTGCTTTTGTCAAATCAATAAATATTTCCTTTGAAATGTTATACAAAAATAAACGTAGTTAGCACTTGTACATCCCCAACATTCTTTTGCAATTGATATGCTTAAAAAAACATTTATCTATTGGAGTGGTCAAACACTACTAAAAGAGACACTGAAAATTAAATAAGACAATCACGAAGGAGTCGAGGAGCATGGGTATTTTTTGAGGAATTTTAAAAAGTCAAAACATAAGGAGTAGTGGAAAATCAGAGGCTGCGACAGTCCAATTAGACTAAGATATCCATTCTTTCTCCCAGATGGCAACCGAGCTCAAAGTTCTCAACCTCAAGAATTGTCTATCATTGAAAAGAACTCCCGATTTGTCTGCTTTCAAAAGCTTGGAGATTTTGATTCTTGCATGTTGTAGGAATCTGGAAGAGATTCATCCTTCTATTGGGGACATCAAGACCCTCATTTCCTTGGATGTCTCTAGTTGTGAAAGACTCAAGGAGCTACCGACAAGAATAGGTAGAATGGTAGAATTGAGGGAGCTTCGTATAAATGACACCGATATACAAGAGATTCCTATTTCGAAAGGTTGTTTGATGAAGCTGGAGACTTTGTGTGTCTTGAATTGTCAACGACTTTCTCAACTTCCTGAACTCATGGGCTCCTTTGTTTCGTTAACTCTATTGGACTTATCTTGGTCAGCAATTGAAGGATTACCCGAATCCATTAGTTCCATGAAGGAGCTCGAGATCCTGAATGCCCATCAATGTAGACTGTTAGCTTGCATACCTAGCTCCATAGGCGATCTAGCATCTCTGCAAAGCTTGTTCTTATGTCGCTGCTCCTCGTTGACAGAAATCCCCGACTCGATTAAAAAATTGGCATCATTGACCGAGTTGGACTTAGGATACACATCGATTACGAAATTACCTGAAGGCATTGAGAATATGCCAAATTTGAGGGTCTTGGAAATTAGTGGAACTAACATAACGGAATTGCCTAATGCCATTGGGAAGTTGGCAAAACTCCAAAAGTTGGGAGTTGAAAAATGCGAAAAACTAGAACGACTACCTAGTAATATGTGCGAATTAGTTTCGCTAAAGGAGCTTTCTTTAGACAAGTCAAGCATTTCGGGCTTGCCAGGAAGCATTTCTAAGCTCTCTTCTCTCCAAGTGCTCGGCGTTGGATATTGTATAAAGCTCCGAGAACTACCGAAATTGCCCTCCGGCTTAATAGCTCTAAGGATCACTTGCCAGAGGCCGCCGTTGCCCCATCTTTCCCGGCTAACCCGTCTCAAGACACTCACTCTTTCTAATTGCCCTTGGCTTGAATGTGTCCCAGAGCTTCCCATTGGACTATCGGAGCTTACTATTGTAGATTTCGGAAAATTGAAAGCGTTCACGAATTTGTCAAACTTGAAGCACTTATCATATTTGTGTCTCTACCGGTGCTTTGATTTCACAGAAGTCACCGGTGTGGAAGGCTCACATTGCCTATCCAACTTACCTGCAGGGCAATGCCCTAAGATATCTAGGATCGATGGGATTGAAGATTCTTCGAAGTTAATGAGCCCAAATGCATCTCAGCTTGATGAGTTGCTAGATCATTCCAATTCGAAGATTCTGCAAGGAACAGACCCCGCAATAAGTTGCGTGAATTCGGTTGAAATCCAAGGCCTTGGTAGATCAAAATCCTCACAAGTGTCGGACATCTTTAAGTGTACGTCCGCCGAACGATCGCTAGACTTTTCAAGTTTTAAATATCTAAGAACCCTCCGTGTTTGGAATTGCAGTGTAACTGAAATTCAAGGCCTCGATGGATCAGAATCCTTGATAGATTTGAATATTATAAATTGCCGTTCCCTTAAATCAGTGGACCTTTCGAATTTAAAGAATCTGCGGCATTTTTATTCTGGGAGTTGCAAAAATTTAGTTGAAATTCGAGGGCTTGAGGGATTAGGACCCTTGCGAGTTTTTCGTATTTCTGGAAGCCCGTCTCTTAGACAATCACCGGACCTGTTGCGTTTAACTTCATTGGCGACGGAGGTGTGATGGTGATGATGGGGGGATCCGCTGAAGTGGAGGCCCGGAGGGAGGTCGGAGGGAGGTCGGAGGGAGGTCGGAGGGAGGTCGTCTGGGCCAGTGGCGGAGTATCACAGACAGAAGGTGTTTCGGATCTCCTCCCATTTTCTCTTCCCATTCCCTCTCTCATTATTCTTTCTTTTCTTTCTCTTTTCTCTTTTTCATTCCGCTGCCTGAACTTTTTTTACTTACCTTTTTTATTTCCTCTCTCATCATCAGTTGCGCTCAGAGAAGGAGAGAGAGAGAGAGAACGGAAGAAGAGCAGAAGTTTTCGCAAGGGAGGGAGGGGGTTCACCGAGTCCTCTCTCATATGTAAGAGAGCGATCGTGCTCGCAGACTTGTTGCCGATTCCTCGAGCTCGCCTTCCGATATCTAGGAGCAGATCGAGATGGTTAGTTCTTTTTCTTTTGATTGAATTGTCCTTTGGCAATTGTCCAATTTCGATGCTTGATTCGCCTGGTTACTTCTTCATCTTTTTCCTTTAAAGAAGGAAGGTTGGGGTTGATGATGTTCCCGTGGATGTCTAATGGTTGCGCCTGCGTATGTACACAAAGAAAATATGTAAAAAAGCAAAGAGATAGCCCTGGCGATATCTTTTCTGGCAGGGCTCTTGATTTTGCACTTACTTATGAAGTGAAAATTGATTGATATTGGGCGAGTCTTCATCATCTCAGTAGTACTAGTAACCAACTGAGTTTCCACCATAACCATTTGGCGTTGGAGGAGACAGCAAACTCGATAGGTAAAAGTTGTCGAAAGGTTACCTGGTGAAGAATATACCTTTAAAATTGAAGTAAAACATGTATGATGAACAAAGAGAAAAGGCACAATTTTTAAGTTAAGTAGTTTTATTTTTGGTTTCATCGTCTTTTTCGGGGTTTAGTGAAGTCAGTAGTATAGGGATGGATTCTCTTTGTTTTAGATGGATAGGTATTTCCTTGGTGCCTTGCTTAATATACCTTTTATGTAACAAAGAAACCGGGGAGAAAAGAAATTGAGATTGGGTGCCAGAGGAGTAATTCATAATAATACTAATTCAGGGATTGGTGTTTGTCCACCCACAGACAAACTAATAGGCAAAAGTACACTATAAATGCCATAACTTGTGTACGGCGCTCACTTTGGTGCCATAACTTTTTTTCGGATCACTTTGGTGCCAAGTCGGAGGAAAAACGATCACTTAAGTGTCATAACTTTTTTTTGGATCACTTCAGTGCTAAAATTTTTGAAAAACGATCACTTAAGTGCTAAAATTTTTTAAAAACGATCATTTAAGTGTTAAATTTTTTGAAAAACGATCACTTAAGTGCCAATCTCCGGCGAGACTCCGGCGAGCCACGTCGCCTCGTAAATTAATAAAAAAATGCCACGTCGATTTCCGGCGAAAATTTGTGTACGGCACCGGAGTTGGCACTTAAGTGATCGTTTTTCAAAAATTTTAGCACTTAAGTGATCGTTTTTCAAAAATTTTAGCACTAAAGTGATCCAAAAAAAAGTTATGGCACTAAAGTGAGCGCCATACACAAGTTATGGCACTTGTAGTGTTCTTTTGCCCAAACTAATATACAATCGATTAAAGATGAACTATGAGTATGGGTTGCACCTCTCCATTGCAATAAGGGTTTGCTGAAATTTGTTGTTTTTTATAGGTACGAAGGAAGATTGGTTAAAACTGTTGCCAGAAAAGTTATGAGCGAGTTAAGAAGAACTTCTCAACTAATTGTTCCCGAACAGTTTGTTGGAATTGATGATTGGGTGGAAGAGATTATGAGCTTGATAGATAATAAATTTAATGATACAGGGATTATTAGAATTTATGGAATAGGCGGCATTGGTAAGATAACTCTCGCAAGGGTCTTGTACAACAATCTCTCTAGTCATTTTGAACATCTTAGCTTTGTGGCAAATGTTCGAGAAACATCGGCAAAAGGACACTATAAGTGCCATAACTTGTGTATGGCGCTCACTTTAGTGCCAAAAGTTTTCGCCGGCTCACTTAAGTGCCAAAAGTTTTTTTTGGATCACTTCAGTGCTAAAAATTTTTTAAAACGATCACTTAAGTGCTAAATTTTTTGAAAAACGATCACTTAAGTGCTAAAATTTTTAAAAAACGATCACTTAAGTGCCAATCTCCGGCGAGCCACGTCAGCTTCAGAAATTAATAAAAAAAAAATACCACGTCGTATTTCCAGCGAAAAATTGTGTACGGCACCGGAGTTGGCACTTAAGTAATCGTTTTTCAAAATTTTTAGCATTAAAGTGACCAAAAAAAAACTTATGGCACTAAAGTGAGCGTCGTACACAAGTTATGGCACTTGTAGTGTTCTTTTGCCGAGAAACATCTATACACAAGGGTATTTAATACCTATAAAAGCAGCTCATTAACGATATACTGAAAAGTCCATATGATGTGTCTAATTTGATGTCATCAAATCTCGATTTACAAGTAAGAAAGTACTCATTCTTCTTGATGATATGGATGACAATACTCATTTGAATTCTTTGGCCAGAGATAGTAGTTGGTTTAAAGCTGGAAGTATAGTCATCATAGTAACTAGAAACAAGACCATTCTTGACAAGGCTAGGGCAAGCCCCATGTATCAACTCAACGAGTTGCCTTTGGATCAATCTTTGATTTTATTTAGTAGACATGCATTTCGAAAGGATTCTCCTCCAAGTGATTGTGAGGATATCTCTCGTGATGTCATCACTACTACCGGGGGGGCTTCCCTTAGCTCTAGAAGTTATTGGTTCATTATTACATGAAAAGACAATAGAAGTATGGAAGAAAACATTAGACAAATTACAGAAAGTTCCCCATAAGAGAGTGCAAGAGACGTTGACAATAAGCTACCAAACATTAGATTATGGGGAGAACCGGATATTTTGGATATTGCATGTTTTTTCATTGGAGAATTTCGACAAAGTCCGACTTATATGTGGGATGCTTGTGGCTTTTTTCCCGAGAGAAGGGATTGAAGTATTGAGTCGTATGTCCCTAATTAAAATTGACGAAGACGGCAAGCCAAAAAAGGCTAGGAGCCTCTTCAAAGAATCAACATGTCATTACAGAACTTTGTCGTTTTCTTTTCATTGGATCATCATTCAGATGTGACTCACTCTATTTTCTGCAGAATATTATTGTCGTTTTCAAGTACTACTCGAGGATTACCTTAAAGAGACTTGCAGAGCTGTTATGCCTCGGTATCCAGGTCTGATTATGTGGAACATTTGTTGATGTTCTTTATCAATGTCACTCTTTATGAATGATTAGCTAGACCCCTCGTTTAACCCTGAGCAGCCTCTCTGCCTGTCATCCCTGATTGGGGCATGGTTGCTGGACTTGGATATAAGTTCCAAAATGTGTGTAAAAGAGGTTTTGGTGTGATGAAAGCCAAAGGCTTGTCATGGATTTGAGAATGTTGTCTTCACAGTTTTGTTTCATAAACATTTCTGACTGACATATATGTGTACACTTGGCTTAGTCAACTTCTGCTCATAAATTTGTTGTAGCTATAAGTGTCATTGTCTGGCATTGTCAAACCGTTTCTTGTCCCGTGGAGCCTGAAATTCTAATGCGCTTTTTCTGCTAGTATTAACACTCACCATTTCCTGTGTTCAGAAAATCTTTATAGCTGAATCACTCAAGGAAAGAGCTCTTTTTTGGGTTCTCTTACTGCTGTTGTTAAGAGCTTTAATCAATCACATGCCTCAATTTATTAAACCAATACTATCATCTGATAGACAGTCCATATAATGATAATTATACAAGCTCGTATGATATTCTATCAGCATGACCTCTTACTTCTATATTACCATTTTAGGAAACTGAGAAGCATCTCTCCTTAATGGTTGTTTCCAAGTCCCTGGTGGCAAAGATCGACTGACCAATGGGAATTGTCAGTTTCCAAACAACAAAGGACGGCAATGAGATTTTGAACTCGGGCGACAAATTTGGAAAAGCTGCTTGACCTTGTCGAGAAAAGTTGCCACCAAATCCCCAAGGAAACCACCGTTCGTAAGGCTGCTTTGAGAGCTTGAAGATGTTTTTAGTTGAATGAATGATCTCTCTCCCCTTGAGCCTCCCTCTCTCACTCTCTCACCGAAGAATGCTGTTTCACATTGTGGTCTGAAGTGGGGACTGGAGATATTCACCATAGAACTCTCGCGTAGCTGTCTTAAATTTGATTGCATATTTTGCAGGGGGACCAGATCCGGGCCTTGTTTCGGACTTAAATGATATACTGAATACACTTTCTGTAAAGGAATGTAGTTTGGTCTTTTCATCTTTCTTCTTTCCTCTTTCCCCTCTCCTTTTAATTGAAGATTTGTGGGCTTTCAGGGTCCAGAACTTGTACCAATGGAACAGTAGCAGCACGAGATGTGCACTCATTTGGACTGAAATAAGCACCTTGTTACAGAATTGTGTTTCGCATGACAAATATTGCTAGTGCTTGTGTTTTTCTAACATCGGGGATAACATTAGCTCTCCAGATTAAAGGCTTAATGAATGCTACTTTCCATTCCATTTCACATTCGAAATGAGCACCTATTTCTAGGGAGCTTCATTTCAATAAGTTAACTGCACTTTTTATTTCTTTTTTTTTTTTTGGTCTGACACTTTTTATTTCTTCAAAGGACGTGATTTTTCTCCAAGTTGATACCTGATACGGGATGGACCTTGTCATGTAGATTTCCAACTCCTTCATTTTCTTCATGGAAACTGAAAAAATTGGGAAAAGCTGTGGCCACGACATCTTTTTGCTGTGGAAATAGTTATGCACACTAAGCAAAAAGCACCATTTTACTTTCTTCACAAAGTAAATGTATTTGTCATGTTTTTTAAACAATGTAATCGTCAAACTTACTTCGCATAAGTAAGAAACACTTAAAAGTTATTCTTGAAGTCCTCATTAACATATCAATTATTCATGAGAAGTAAATAGTTTTTGAAATCTTACATTCAGGAATGACGTGAAAGTTCCTGCTTTTCTTGA